AAAAAAAACTCAAGTATTAGGCTGCGTTCATAATGTATGGCAGAGGAGGGGGGGCAGGTGAAAATTTGAAATGTCCAGAACAATTCTTAATTAACACCCCCCCCCTCCCCCTACAAGTCATGCAAAAAAAAAACAATCCCCTCTAAGCAAGGGTCGTAGCTTCTTCCAAAAATTGTGCATCTCCCCCTCCCCCCAATTTTTCTGATAAAAATTTGCCCATCCTCCCTTTTTCCTACCAAACTTTTCTCGATTCCCCCTCAATTTCACCTGCCCCCTCTCTGCCATACATTATGAACGCAGCCTTAACTTGCAACAAGTTTCTAACAGACAGTTCTAACCAGACTCCATCTAAAGCTCTTTCTTTTCATATGTGTATATATGAAATTTTTGGGGAGAGGAGGTAGTAGAAAAGGGTTAGCTTGCAGTGGGTGTTTATATTTCCTTCTTTCATCTTAAGGAAAAACTAAATATTAAACTTATTTCAAATAGAATTGGATCTTTTTTGTTTCATTGATAGATAAAGTGCTAGTCTAGATCCTATCAGCATCATTTGGACAGCGCCCATCTACACTCACCATGATCATGAGAAAAGACCAGAAATCCTTCTGCAACCAAAGCAGGTACAAGGAAGTCGCTATACCGTCCAGAATGCTCGCCAAAGCCATGGCTTATAAATATCARAGCTCTGGATAATAGAAGTACCAAGGTAAGAAGTCTTTATTTAAAAATCTGTTAAGTATTCTTGCATGCCCCGACGTGTAAATGTGACATTTTTACTTAAGCTTATATCTTACAATGGTTTTTTGTTATTAATCAAGTGTTGTAGTCTACAAAGATCAAAGGTCGACACTCTTTCTTATTTGAATTTTTAAATAATGCCTTATGTCGACCGTGTTTGGACTGAAAATACAAAATTAATATAAAGCCTTAAATATATTCAAGAAAGCGGACTCCTTAGTGAATCGATTGATTTGAATGTTATCATTAATTTTTTGTATGATATATTTCTTGTTGTCAAAGTCATTTCATAACGTCGATCAAGGTTCTTCATCTCGTTGTTTTGAAACTGGATTAGCAAAATATTTCATCTAGCGCTAACTCGAAAGTGCAAAAAAAAAAATTAAGCAGACCCTAGTTTTACAATGAGTGGTGTTTTCCTTGTTTTTCTTCTATTTGGTGGAAATAAATGCCTTTGAATTCCACTTTGATGTAGACTATTTTCATTTCGTGATTTGGGAACGGTGATTATAGTATGTAGATCGTGGGGTTGCGGTGATAATTGCTCATGAAACTTGATCGCGTTCACTCAAACTTTATTCATGTAATTTTCCTTCAATTTGCAAATCAAGCCTAAGGTCTCTCAACATAAACAAACAGCTAAACATACGTACCATCGAACTAAATAATTTTGATCATTATTTACTGTCATGTTTATAATGTTAGCTTATCATTCGTTGATCATGTTTTTTGCATAAGTTAAGATCACAAAATAATACATTTCCTTACGTTGGCTCCTCTTTGTTTGTTCTCCACTGCCTCGTAAATAATACCAGCCCATCTTTGTTTTTAAAGGAGCCTTCAACAGTGTTAACCGATAAAACAGGTGTGATATTTTTCTGGTCCACCATTCTGTCCTCAACCAACACTACACTTGTCATGCTACGTTTAGTCCTTCTTTGACTAATGAGGACCTGTTACGTCATACGAGTTACGTCATTTCAATCATTTCGCTGCATAAATTTTTGTCTGTTTTCCACGAAATCTTTAGGTTTAACTTTTAGTTTCTTGGTTTTACGTAAAATAATGTTCACATTTTCTTGATTATTTACTTTGGGACTTGGATTACTGGCGCCTGATGTAGTCTATTTATGAGTTCATAGGTGTGCTATAATTAGCGCATTTTTTGCCTCATTATTATAATTGGCATATGATATTACCGTCATACTTTTCAAAATGGCTTATAGACCAATTTTAAATGGTTTCCATGGTCGTCAGCGATTTCGTTATGTTTTTTTTAACTATTTTCACTAATTTCAATACCACTCCTCTCCTCCTCTCCTCTCCTCTCCTCTCCTCTCCTCTCCTCTCCTCTCTTCTTCACTCCTCAACTCAACTCAGCTCAACTCAGCATCACAAATGTAAACAAACCAAGTACTGGAACTAGACAAAATTGTAAAATCTCCCGTTGAGCCTCGTTCTCTAGCGTTTAGTTAAATGACTTAATATTTCGGCTACAAGTCGACTGGACTGAATTGATATCAGATTGATGCGTGTCGCTAAGTAACTCCCAAGGAGATTGGAGTCACTCTAGTAGAACGAGTTATACTTCAGTCAGAGCACCTATCCTGGCTTTTATTTGAGGGTTCTTTGCCCTTGCTTTTGACTGATTTGTTTCCGCTCAATTCTGATTGGCAAGATTATCCAAGCCTTTTGTCTAAGAAAGTGATATCTTATTAGCTTCTTCGATTTTCATTTTGGTCGATGTTGATTGGATGAGAACAATTTGATTGATTGTTGTTTATGAAATCTGATTGGTTAATGTTTCTGGACCACCTTTGTAGGGAGTAATAACTGGTGTTGCAAGCCCCGCATCGATCCATTGGGCGAAGGAGCGGCTACCTTAACGAGGTCGGAAGAGAATGGTATAGCAACTGTGGATGCTCTTGGAGCTTTACAACAAAGGTGAGCGAACCATTTTAGAAAATTTGTCGCCTTTTTTATTCTTCAGTAAGCCAAACATAATGCCTAAATTTTTTCGCTCACTTAACAAAGAAATTCATAACTTAGTTCATACTGATTTTGCGCCGGTGTTTCCGAAGACTAGTTTCAATGTTCATATAAATTCACGAACGCTGTGAACAAAAGCACTATACCTTTGTCTTGAATTTACAAGGATTGGGAATGTCAAAACATTTTACTTTGATCGCACAGGGAGTGAATGCGCAGTCTATCGAGCCCAGAGGTTCATGAGTAAAGCGCTCAACTTACGCCAAATAAAATTGGAATTTAGGAGTAACGTTAATTTTTAAGGAGGGAGAAAAACCGGACCACGCGGAGAAATACCCTAGTCATAGAATAGATGAGAACCAACATGCAACTCTATTCACATGCGACACCAAGTTTAAACGATAATGTATTTTACAGAGAAATACATTGTTATTTTCTTTATGTACGGTATCGCTTTCAAAAAAAAAGTCGAACGACGCGAGCTCAAGATTGAAAACGTCAAGAAAAGACAAAACGAGAGACATGTTTTTCGGGAAAGGAACATTAGTGACTGAACACCATTTTTTGTTTAAAATGAACTGAAAGCTTCTGATTTCTTTTCTTAATTTGTTCACGACTGTGAGGTATACGTAAGGGGGGAAGGGCCGGGATTCTTTTCCTTTTTAACCTTTTTTTAGGACAAATGTCAGGCTTTACTGTTAGTACTGAATACAGACAGCTGGAAGACGCTGACTATTTCGATTACTCACACAACAAAGGAATCAAGTTATTCTTCTTTAACTCTATTGATGGCGCTTTTCTCCCTCGGATATAACTATAATTTTCGTTTCTCACCGGCTGCAAACTGAAAAAGTTGAAGCTTTTCGATTTCTTTAAGAATTTTGTACATGCACCTTTTACTGCAAAATGCTTTGTTTTCTTTGTTATCTCTTTCGCTAGGATGTAGTCAGCTTGAAGTTGAATTTGGCGACAAATTTGCATAAAGTGGTATTGGTTTTCACTATTTTTGTCAAACATTTGTTTGCTCAGGTGTCGTGTTGAAAACTACTTAGAAATTCAGTTTCCATTTGCATAGTAAATTTAGCAAATAGAGTGCTATTTCTTTTTCTTCTTCTTCTTCTTCTTCTTCTTCTTCTTCTTTTCCTTTTCTTTTTTCACTAGTTCATCATTGTTCTTCAAACAAAAGATTTGGCTGACAAACCTCAATAACGTTTATATATTTTTTCATTTTAATTTCATTGGATATAATGGTTCGCACGCGCTTTAGATTCATGTGTTGTTTTAAATAACCAAGTCTTGGAATGCATGGTTTTTATTTTCTAACCGCGGCAATCACTAATTTTTCAAAAAAAAATTCACAAATTTCAGATACGAAGAGGTGTCCGACCAAGCCTTGGAAGACTACAGCTTGAGGTGAATGCAATAGGCCTTTTGCAGGACATGATCACGTGGCTCAGTGTTAACTGACTGGCAAAAACTAGAAATTCGGACTTTCCTTATCTAAAATACGTTTTGCTGGTTTACTAATCTAATATCCAAAACCTTTTTCAAAATGCAATTTTTTTCTTGTAACATGCCTTCTATTTCAATATACTATAAACATTTTTAGTTAAATTATGTTTGCCAGTCAGCAAGCCTTCCCCAAGTGGCCTCACTTTGGCTGAATTGATTCCTTATCAATTGATTTATATCAGCACGTGACTGTTTGATGGCAAAAGCCTATATTGAATACTTTAAAAAATATCCATGAAATAATGAAAATTGTTTTAATACGATGTTCATGTATGCAATGTATTTGATGAAATATTTATGTTGTGAAATTGAATGAATAAATGAATGCAATTTATGAAATGAAATCTTTATGAAAGTGAATTCGTAATTGAATAATAATTGTTAAAAAATCAATCTATTTTAAAGATTAATTCATCCAAAATTTCAAAGATGATACAGAAGGTTTCAAGGTTTTCTACTGATTAAGAGCTGTTGTTTTCTTTTTGTCTCCATTGTCACGTGGGAAAAGTGGGGGAGTGATACTTTCCCAATCGGACACAAAGATTCCTTCTCGACTAGTCGGTCTGTCTTCTGTTAAGGTTTTATTCGACCTTGTACAATGCATGTTTAGGCTTACTGGAACTATATGATTTGACAAAGTGTTTCAACTTGAAATGTCATGTTTTGTGAACTTAACTTACTGGAATATGACGATTATCTTTGTTCAGTATTTTATCATACAACTCTTCAATCCGAAAGGTCAATTAAGAATAGCAAACAGTAAGAACTTCTGTTTTGAGTTGAAATATGTGCACAGCTAGAGTACACAAACACAGCTTGTATGTTTCAAAACTAGAACTCTTTAAAGTTCAAAGTTAGTGTTATTGGGATAAATTTATTATTAGTGATAATGTTTATTATTAACTAAGCTTTTAATATTAACCCAAAACTTAGCCTTGTTACAATCTTGGTTCTACCAAATTTTAGGTTGAGAACCGCTTCTTCTCTCTCTTCATGTTAAAAACATGCTGTTCGTACCATTGTTCAGAAATAACTAGATTCTCCTTTTTTATGATATTTAGTAGGTTAGGGATTATAAAGCTATTTAATATTCTTCTCTCTTCTTTGTTAAAGCTCAAAAAGCCAATAATATGACGCATATGTGTGTGTGTATATTGTGACGTGGGAGGTTTTTCCCGAACACTGGGATGGAGCGAACTAGCTCGTCCCACGTTGACACAAGGAGTCTTCCATAGACTTTCTTTATCGATCTTTTATTCGCTCCGTTTGGCTTCTTTTACACGGTTGTTAATTGTGCTTTTATTTCTACTTCGTACTATTCGTCTCGGACTCATTTCTTCGTCTGTCTTACTTAATTCTCTACTTCTCTTCGTCTGTGTGTGACGTGGGGTGTTTTTTCCCGAACACTGGGATGGGGTGGACTAGCTCGTCCCACGTACAAACATGTAGCCTTTTACTGATTTTCTTTTTCTGGTCTTTTATTCGCTCGGTTGTCTTCTTCACTCTTCTAACTATTGGTCTGTACTCTTCTGACTATTGGTCGGTACTCTACTCTTCTCTCTATATGTCTCTGTGTTACATTGTGTGCTACAAGCGCTTAAGTATTATTTGTGGTCTATTGAAAGTGACGTCAAGCAGATAATGATGTCACGAAGGGAAGTGGGGGAGTAATACGTTCCCTTGCGACGATGTTATTTCTCTCTTTTCTGGACTAAGAGAAGACGACGAGACTGCTTTTCTGCTTCTGCTTTCTTTTCTTTTATTTATCTGCTTGGTGTTCCAACTCAACTGAACTAAAGTGTGTGCTACATGCACTTATAAAAGTTCTCATTAGCATAATCTGTGACATCATGTCCAACGTGACCTGACGTCACTTACAAGCATTCTGATTGGTTAATTATAATTGTCATTAGCAATAAACTAGTTCCCAATTCCCGAGGAGGAATTTGAACTATTGCAAAATTCTATTATTTAAACTTAACTGTCATCAACGATAGTTATACCGTCGAAGGATCGTTAAATAGGCTTCCCATCGCCGGTACAAATTATAGCTGACAAACGAAACTGTAAAAGATTGCTGAGCTTAAAGTTAGGTTTTGGATCGTACCCCTGGCAGCGCCCAAAGTAAATATTTAAGTAACTTATCAGCTAAAAAAACCTCTAGGCATCAATAAAACAGAGAGGACAATTATTGGTGAGAAAAACAAGATTACATGCTTAATCGGTTTTCCTCAGTTTCCTGCGTTGGTGTCAGCCCGAGAGACTACACCAGACAAGTTGGCGACGCAGTGGCGATTTTGCTGATATCGCTGTTTCTCAAAGAGCTAATCGTATCCAATTTCTGCTCTTTTCCGAAACAGTGGTGCCGCTGCAAGACTATCCGGCACCTCAGCTTTTTCCGCAGTGATTATGCATCTTTTCCTTTCATCTTATTATTTTTGTTTTTTCCATTTTCTATTTTCTAATGTATCTCGTATCTTGGAACTAATATTTCTCCTTACAATGACCTGACGCTACCTGTGATTGGTCAATGCGGCTCAGAGGAGTTAATGAGCTAGTTCCCAATTCCCGAGTAGGAATTTCAACTAACCCAAATTTCTATGATTTACTCAACCCTAAATCGCATAGATCATACAGGAGTCGCTATATACTTAACTAATTACCACTTGAAGGTGATTTAAGTTTGAAACAAAAATGAAGGAGATTATTGAGACTAAAGTTGGGATGTCAACAAGCTGTTGAAACACCCGATTAAAACTTTTTWAAAATTAATGTCATAAAATTCAATTTATAAATAATTATACTCTAAAAACTAATTCACATAAGAAATAAATAAATAGATAAAAATTATAATAAAAGTTATAATGCACACCCGATTATGCAGTACTATCAAGAGAACAAAAGCCTTAGAGATGTCAAAAGTGAATAGAATATTTGCTCAGGTAGCCAACTCCACGTGCTGAGCTGTCGACCTTAACCTCGATCATACCATTAAGACTGACATTTTAATTCCGAGAACACGTTCCTTGTTTACCTATCAATAGATTCTGTTTAATTTTTACAAGCGTCTCCGTTCTCCTTTGTGACATGTGGAACCAAAATGTCAAGCCTATTCATGTAATCCTAGAAACAAATCTCAGAGCTCAAAATCTCAAGATTCGGGTCGTTCTTCGGTTGCTTCCTTGTGCTTTATTTTCTGTTGGTTGTAGTACTTTACAATGATCTCATCTGAACTCTGGTTATGGCTCTTGACTAGCTGCTACTTCGTTGTGCTCTGTGCTATCAGCTCTCTTACACGCACTGAACTGAACTCTGAGTGAGCTCGTATTTAAGGGCATAGCTTACGCAATAACTCACATAACCGGTTCATACTAGATCAAACTAGATTAGACCAGTTAGGCCAAGTATGACGTAAGAGCTTGAGAAAGGTGTTGACTTTAGGAAAAAGTACGAGCACTGAGTTCTAAGAGCTGACCCTGAAAATCTGTCGATGGTGTTCGCTAACTTAACTAGTATAGAGCAGATTTCACTAAAGATATATATTCTAAAATTATAAGTAAGATCACTCTGAAAAAGTGAACAGAAAAAGGCTTAGGAAGTAGTTGTTTGTACAGTAAACAACCCTGCTCTTTTCCAGTACGYATGTACAAAGTTGTACATGATCAAAACCCGTTTTCACTGGAAAAGTACAGTACATTTGCAGCTGTTGTTTACTACAAAAAGGACTTTCCAAATCAAAATAAAGAAGTTTCGCTTAAATTTGTTATTCAAAGAAGGTTTAGCGATTAAGTTTGATGATGATTTATAAGTTTATATAGCGCCTTTTCTATGTGAATATAATCAAAGGCGCCTTACATTAAGTTTCTATTTCTAGGATGTTTTTCCCTTATAATTTCCATTGATCACATTTTTCCATGCTAAACCAAAAAACCACTCCTTTACAAATAAATAAATAAATAACTAAATAACGCTAACTACACCTGTAAGTAGCTAGCATACGTCTTTCCGTGCAATCAAGAAATTAATATCTGCGCGGTGGCTATTCTAGAAAGAAACCACTCCTTTACAAAATAATAATAATAATAATAACGCTAACTACACCTGTAAGTAGCTAGTATATGTTTTACCGTGCATTCAAGAAAAGATTATCTACGTGGCTATTATTCTTTTCGCACTTCTTTATGGTTATCTTGGTTCTACCAAATTTTAGGTTGAGAATCGCTTCTTCTCTCTCTTCATGTTAAAAACATGCTGTTCGTACCATTGTTCAGAAATAACTAGATTCTCCTCTTTATCAAGATATTTCGTAGGTTAGGGATTATAAAACTATTCAATGTTCTTCTCTCTCTTCTTCGTTAAAGCCCAAAAAGAATAATATGATGCATATGTGTGTGTGTATAACTATTTGTATTACTGACGAAAGGGAAAAGGGAAGCCTCGTAGGTTCTCCGGTGGAGTTTCACACTCGTTGAGGGGCACCAGTTCCGCGCGGCAAAATGGACAGCTGTATGAACCAGGGCCCGTGGCATTGTTAAAACACTTTAACACTCAGATTCTTGCATATATTTGCGACAGCTAGCACGGCAGTGTAGGATTTCTCCTGCTTCTTGGTGACACACTAGGGCACCCTGTTTTCAAAAACGCCGCGCGAGGCGCCTGGCCGGTGTCCCTCGTCTTGTGTCTTTGTTTTGGCATGTTCTTTGGCATGTTTGTAGGTTATCGTGGACCTTGAACAGTGCCGACAGTCAGAAAAACGTAAAGGAAACAGTCTCTTGCCAACTGGATGTTCCTGTCGAGGCAGTCTAACTGTCAGTTTAAAAGAAAAGAAAAGAAGAGTTTGGTTTATATCTATGAAATGTCAAACAAAAGTTGGTTCGGGTTGGTCCCGAGCAATAGGGGGCTTCTCGCATTTAATGCAGGATGCCATCTGTTGTGTTGGGCAGGCAGGTTCTTGTGGCTTCTGTTGTAGGCATGAAAGGTTTGGTTGGTGGACTGGAAATGCAGGCGGTATTTGTGGTGTGTTATATTCGTGTGACGTCTTGTGGACGCCTTGTGGTGAAGCTTTAACATCTTGATGTTCCGTTGTTGTTGAATTGATCAGGACGTCTTGCCCGATAACCATAATAGATCAAACAGCAAACGATAATAGCAAGGGAGAGAGTATTACTTCCCTTTCAGACACATAAATTTCTTTTTCCTTTTTGTGGCTCTCCTCTCCTTTATGTCGATTGCGAGTACAACTGAGAACAAATTATTAACAACTAGGACCAACTACAGCTAACTGCAACTAACTTAATTCTGTGCTGCATGCACTTAAATAGTAGTGATAAAATTAATGAGATGACGTCAAGCAGAAAAACAGTACTTTCAAGTATAGCGTTTCAAGTATAGCGCTTTTGTGCGAATACTACGGGGCGATTTGCTGGTAGAGACTTTTATTGGAAGGCCAAAAGCAACTTCTACAACTGAACTCCACTACTGGCTAACTGAACGCTTAGATATAGTTGTTTGTAGCCAAATTCTTTCATTAGGGCTGATGTTAGAGCATCGTGATAGGGCCCAGCGTTTGCATTCCTGAAGACTAGGACGGTAAGCATGAGGACATTTCATTTGAGATTGTAATTTGGTTTGTGAATTGTAATACTTTTTTAGATAAGAATGGCATTCAATGAGATGAGAAAAACCTGGTAATGAACTTAATCTCCGAATATTTTTACTTGTTTTTCGGAACGATTGAAGCAATTTAGACATGAAAGTTTGTTGATTCCCCGAGCATGTAGTCTTAATAGTTTGTTTGCGCCCTAAGGGCACATTTCTGAGTTTGAAAGATAAGTTTATAACCTGAGTGTCGTGATATAGAAAAATAGGTCTAGGGTTATATGCCAAGGTCAGTGAGGAGGGATAATAGGTTACGGTTTTGCCGTTAGTGTCATAGTCATTAAGCAGCAGTAAGGGGGACTCGCGGTCACCCCCCGGAAATATTACAAAGGTATTCCCTATCTTTTGTCTGAAATTACCGGTGACTCTATTCCTGAGGTTTCTGAAGATACTATGAGAAGGGCCGAGTGGATGTTTTGTCGGCTGGATAAGGATATTCCTTATTACCCTGACGTAATCTATGAGATATTTCATAAAATTGACCCCAACCACCCCCTCTTGGGATGGATTCCAAGAAGATAGTGGATCTTATGCCATAAGACGACGTTCGATATGTAAATTAAAACCCGTCTGGCTTTTTTCAAAACAAATATTTACTGAGCGAGCTTTCTTTGAAGCTCCTCTTTTGCTTCTTGGAATATCTTTTTCCGTGTTTCCTCGGACAAATCTTTGATGATTGTTTTTTTATTCCTGATGTCGGACTTTAGCTTCTCATATTTCTCCTCTTCGGCCAGGATAATCGAGAATTCGACGTCGTCTATTTTTCTGTCACGCAAAGCCTTAGAAACCAAGTCAGTAATCGTATTTACTTTTGCCCTAGACAGAGCTATTGTCGTGTCGTGCTTTGACATCTTGCCGGATAATTTTTTCATGACGCCCGTAGTAACGGCTGAGATAATGCCGCAGACGGCTCCGACGGCAGSCAAGGGAACCCCAGCGACTACTCCTGGCCCGGTAAGTGAAGTTGCAACCCCTGAGCCTGTTAGAGCGACAGATATTGACCCAGCTGTTATTGCAACCTTGTGCAAGACACTTCTGGTTCTGGCATATTTCTTTCTGACTTCTTCGTAGTGTTTTGTTTGCCCTYCGAGGTAAGCCAGTATTAGATTTGCTTTATTAAGCCTAAAGTTTTCAGCATTCATTTCATTGGGTGCCGTAGTATGATAATTGGGAATATCTGGGTAAATCTTAGGTGCCGATGGTATGACATCCATTATATAGTATGTACGATGCGTTTGGGAATGACATCGAGGAGCAGCCACATCATGACAATAGAGATAACTGGAATTGGAGGGCCTTTAGGAAGATGTTTCCGCATGCAGACCCTACTAAGTTTGAGCGTAGACCCGATGGTATTTATTACCAGGGCTCTAGGATGTACAGCAATAAGGATTTGAGTCCTAAGCCTAAGATTTTGCCACCTACTAAGCCTAACTTTCCTGCGAATTTGATGGAGACCGCCCTTAGCTACCCATTCTATGACGACAAGGGCGGCGCGGATGAGTTTGCTAAGATGGTTACCTCCCTGGAAATTCCTGTGACCAATTCGACGACCTTCGCAGTGACGGTCAGAGACGTCTTTAGAGAAACTGCCATGAAACACACGACAGGAAAAGAATCTAGGAAATAGTTATCGGGTCCTAGTATGCAATATTGGCCACAACAGTTAAACTTTGCCGTCTGGGCTGCCACTAAGGGATGTGGTATAGCCGCGAAAATGTTCCATATTCCTTTCCTAAGATTTCATGTTGCTTTTACCATTTAGTTTGACTGGTTAGTGTCCCGCTGAGCGGCTCGACCTGGGGAGCGAACAAATCCACCCCTAGGATTACGCTGATCAAATGGAATTCGAGGATCGTTTTGCCTAGAATTATATGATCTGGTATCGTTAAATCTAAAATCGTTTTGTCTAAAACCATTTTGACTAAAATTTGGATAACGACAATTTCGATAATGATGACCAACTCGCTTTGTGACAAATAATCTGTCCATTGGTAGTTCTATTTTCTCTGCCAAAATCTCCACTGCAGACGGGGGTTTGGGGGCGGTGCCCTATTAGAGATGCTACCCATGGAGCGTAATTCTTCTCGGATTATGCGTCTAATAGAATTGTCTTCGTTCTGTCCTGGTTGTGGGTTTTGGTTTCTCTGCTCGTAAGCAGCTACTCTAGGCTGAGAAAGTAATTTCTTATCCTCTAACTGTTTAATAAAATCTCGTTGTAAGGCCAAAACATCACTGGCCGTTAAATTATTATTTGGTGGTTCAGCAAGCGAATTTTTAATTCTGGCCGCGTTTTCGGCCTCTTCTAGTGACTTGGGCTGTTGCAAAATCACGTAATTCCTTAGATGGAGGCGTAGCCCCTGTACAAAATAATGTAATTGCTCGCCAATCGGTATAGCTAGTCGCTGGCAGCGTTTTCTTACGTCTACCGAATAGGCGTTTAAGCTCTCATTCGGGCCCTGCTTCCTCTGGCCTAGCTCTTGTCTTAAAACCCAGTTTGATGCTGAAGAAATGAAACGTTCTCTGAATGCTTGAGCCAATTGATCAAATGTGGTCAACCCGTTCTTATCTAGGGTCGAGTACCAAATTTCAGTCGTCCCACTAAGGGATAAAGGAAAAGCTTGGAGTAATTCCAAATTCTTCTAAAACATTACTGGCATCATCGCTCTCTCCAGAAAAAACGGGTGCCCGTGAAATTCCTGGGGGTCCCGTTTTTGGCTGGATTTCTAGTACGGCATTGCTTAAGGCTGTAAAAGAATTTGCACTCTCGGCATTTAAATCTTGCATATTTTTGCGAATGCCTTCCAATGAGGTTTTTAACATTTCTGAAAATCTATTCGTTAACGTTTCTAATTGTACTGGATTTGCTGAATCAGGACTGCTAGGACCTTGCTCTTCACTCATTTTGGAATTTGGTTTTGATTTTGATTTAGTTTTAGAATCAAGTTTAGACTTAGTTTTGCAAGACTTACAGATTGAATCCGTGTCTGATTCGTTTTCTGATTCACGTAATTTACAAATTGGTGCCCATGAATCTCCGGCTAGTTCATGACCTTCTATCATTTCAAAACTTAATGGACCCCTGAGTTACAATCACAATTCCTGTGGAGAAACTCCACTAATAAAAATGTCATCCGCATTAGAGAATATAGAATAAATATGGCATATAGCACTTGCGCAAAATTGCGTAATATTTATTGGTAAAAATCAAGAGACCATGGCTTATTGTGAAAATGCACATTTGTGCTACAAATAAAAATGAATATTGCCTGTGCTTATCACAATTCATTTAAACTTTAAGTCGTACACAATTGGAGACTATGGGCTTTGAAGATGAAAAGCATAAAGCGTGGAGGAGTCACAACTATGGCAGTAATGGCTGATTTTTAAAAAGCATTTGACACTGCAGGTGGCGTACAAAACTGTCTTAAATAAACTGGATGAACAAGGTTTTTTCAATTCTTTTCAATCATGGACTAGAAAACAGTTTGTCCTAATTTATGCCAATTATTCTGAAACCATCGATGTAAATCTTTGGTGTTCCACAGTGTTCTATAATTGGGCCTGCATATTTTTTCAACCTGTTTGGGATCAGTAACTTCATATAAATATGCTGATGACACAACTATATACACTCGTAAAAAAATTTAAAAACGAGCAATATCAGTGCATGTGACACTCTATTGTACAACACATCCTTGACAAGTAATCATTTTGGACATATGAATGTAACCTTTGTTTTAACCATACGAACACAAAGTAATGCTTTTTTTACTACAAAATTAAAGATATTCTATACGCATCATCGTAATGGACATCAAATAAACCTCACTATAAATGGCACCAAACGAGAAAGGAACAGTAACACTTGCCTCCTTGCATGGAACTGAATCGCAAGAAAACCGATAAAGTGGAACGATGATGTGCATTCTAAAATATCTATATATATAAGTGCTAAAGTACACTGTTTGTACTTTAAAAAAGCAAGAATCTTGCACCTTTTCATGCTAAAAAGCAACTAGCTGAAGTCTCTCAAAGTCTCGTTTTGTCAGGAATTGATTACAATGACGTGGTGTCCTACCCTATTTCAACTTATTCCAAAGAAGAAGTTTTTGCTTGGAAAAGCATTGATACAGAAAATATATACAAGTATTCAACGTATTTTCACGAAGCTGATAAAAGAGTGACGTACCTGAGCTGTTGGTCCACTGACGGCAGAAGACACCAAAGACTTACCCATAAAGAAATCTGTCACCTACAAATAAAGCAAAAATTCTGGATTCACTATCAGGCCAGATCTGACATGTCAAGCAAAATACAGTGGCGTAATGATTTGTTCAGCGGCAGCTTTTGAGACATTGCAATTTTTAAACCATCAGAGCGCCCGTAGTATATATACCACAGGAACTTTAAGATTTACAGAATCTACGACGGCGGCTTCAATAGGAAATGTAAATAACTCTTCTTTTTTGGGTTTCCCACCTTCAAAGTCTGTCTTCCTTGGAGGCAAGTTGACTTTACTGACAATTTTTTGAATGAAATCTCCAATTCATATAACACCAAAGAGAAATTGATTACAGTCGACGTCGCCGTCGTAGATTCTGTAAATGTTAGTAGCACGCTGTCGCAAATTTTGGCCAATCAGAGTGTGCGCAATCTATAATTTGTTCTGGGGGACAAAGCAAAAACCTTCTTTTCTTGCGCTACAAAAGTCCATGTTTTGTCCCCCAGAAACAATCCTCTAGGGGCTCAGTGCAAGGGGACTATATGATATATGAAAGCGATGGAACGACAAAAAACCTGCAATTCTTATACCAATTTTACAGAGTGTGCACACTATATTTCGAATATTCTACAACAAAAATAAAACCTAACATCTCTCCTTACTTTAGCATCGTAGCATCCACCAGCAATTGGATTTTTAGGATCAAGATCACCACGCGAACAAATAGCATTCATTGGATTATTGAACGCGTAGGGATCGTGCTTATAATCTAAGTAATATAGATCAAATATCGATTAGATAATCTAGTTTTCTTTCTCTCATCGTAATTTACATACAGCATTTTCCCACACATCCCCCTCCCCCGATCTTTGTTTTTCCACCTATAGTTGGAAGGGATAGAAGCGCGCTGTGCGGAACTAAAAATTCTAGTTTATTAACATGTAATATTTAGAGGATTTTCGTATGTGAGGGAAACGATCGGTATACACGACTTTCAAAAATGGCTGCCAAACTCGAATGGGACTAGGGACAATTGAATGGAAGCGAGGTAAGTAAGGCCTCATTAGTAAACTAAGTCTACTCAGTACGATATTTTGTGTCGAAGTCATTCAACCTTACTGCAATAGACTCTTCAAAGAACTCGAATTGGTGAAATGAATGACTTTGACACAAAATGTATGTATTGACTCCCAATATCGTAGATGTTATGACATGCTACATGACATTCCAATGCATTGTTTTCTTGTAATTAATCACGTACAGCGCGTAGTTATGATGTTACAATATGATGCGGAACGGCTACAACCAACAGTACGTGTATGAGATTTCCTATCATTTCCCAGTCATACCCACTCTACAATCGTGATCATACCGTTATAACGCATGATATGTTTCATGGATTCCATGTCATTGACCTGAAAATAATCCATATAATGTTTGTTCGCAATATTAATGGTATACAGTCGCAATGAGCAACAACAACAACAACAACAACAAAATACAGCAAAAAAAGGTCCCCTGGCAGGACTCTTTTTATTGGCGCATTCGACTTTTAGTGCAACTTTTGCGGCGATCACAGCGGCTTTTGACGATTGCCCCTAGTTTACTTGCGTTATATGCGCGTTACAGTGAACTTGCATCAAGAGTTGACTGATTAAAAGTAACGGGTCATAAGAATTACGGGCCTTTTAGGGTATTAGGGCAAAGATTGGCAAACTGATTTTATTGCGCGCGTAATGCAATCATCGTCAATAACTGATTTCATATGTCTACAATGGAGGAGAATGAGGGCAGACACTTTCTTCGATAAGGCTGCTTACCGTTGCTTGATCTCGGCGGAATATCTTGGCTCGAGGTGCCAACTCATATGAGTAAGAAATACCATGTTTTCTCACAAAGTCAGGATAACCACTTAGATTATAGATCTATAGGAAAAAAGAGTGAGGTAGGTAGTACACTTTCGATATTAAGATAAAGCCACAATATTGCGCGCAGAAAATATTTACAAACAGTCAGTAATGAAAGAACATTATTGAGGCATGAAAAGAGATCGCAGAGCTTAATAAAATAGCGTTACAATTAATAGTAATGCAGTATTTGTTGAGCGCAGTAATTTTACTTGGGAGTAGGGGCAAGGCATCATACTGAATTCTAGTTGTCTGATTACTGGAGCAACAGTGTGTCAAATAAAGAGTGTGACAATCTTTATACATGGCCATAACACCCATAATCTGTATACTCGATCGTCCAAAGGAATGCCTACAGTATTGCGCAACATTAGTATTGTGCGCACAGGGATAGATCTAGGATTTCGGCAAGAGGGGAAAGTGCGGAGGGGGGGGGGGTTGAAAATTGTGGTCTAAATTTGCATTAGGTTTTGTAATATTTCAGGGTGTTTGATAGCCTTAATGGCCAACGACAAATAATGGGTTGATGTATCTTAAAAATTCAGGTAAGTACATTTGTGTGCATTTTTACTTTCCTTCCAATTACCTTTTCATAAAATGGAACATTGTAGGATGGCCAGTATCCAAGCCTTAAGATAGCTGTCTGGTCACCACTGGCTACACATCTATGAAAAAATATATGTTTKTTTTTTTCTAATAACACAATGGAATAACCATTGACCACACATGCCCTCGGAAGCAGAAGTGCCATGAACGTTCTCGTGCACGCACAAGTAGCCCATACCCTGGTTTCTGTGCCACTATATTGCAGTAAATGTATATATATGTGCTTAATAATAAATCACTTTTTTCGAAGACGTTTGGACAACTTTATTTTTTATCTCTAGCTTTCGATCCGAAAAACTTGGGTTTCCTGTTGCTCGGGTTGCAAGGGTTTTAGCCTTTAGTATCCAAAGTAGGAAGCGCACTGCTCAACTACATGTAACTATCTCCATCATTTCCAAGCATATATAGCAACTGTGACGTGACTGTCATATGTCGCTTGTTAAAATAAAAGAAACCAGAGAAAAATGTTTTTGCCATGTTAAATCAGATCCGTTCAAGGTATAATAGTGATATGTCATCGTATTTCAATGGAACTAAAACAGCTAAGATCGAGAGCTTTGCACCCCATAGAGTGAAGGTATTTAACCCGTGAAATAAAAATTATTAGTCAACGTGTAATAGTCAAATAGACACAAAAGAAAACAATGGTCTACTAAAGTGTGTTAGTCTAATGCCTATTTCACTGGTTTAATAACTTCACTCTATATATTTATGATATGTTGGTACTTACGTAGGTATCTGTTCCACGACCCATAGTGCGCCATCGTGCAGGGTTTTGTTCAGTTCAACCAGTTTTAAATCCAGTATCATGTACTGATTGTTATAAGTTCCTGTTAAAAAATAGTGGCAAAAAATTATGATAGAACTAGAAAGAAAAATAGAAAGGAAGAGGAAGGAAGAAAAAAAGGAAAACTCGACCAAGAATTTTTCTGGGCAGAACGGTACATAACAAACTCACGGGAACCGTAGTAGGGGTGGGGTGCGGGAAATTTAGCTCATAATAAGCCTCTTTCTTTTTGTTTGTGTCGTTTGTAACTAGAAAATTACCTGAGTTGTATAATTTAAAAGTCTCAGCCCACTCCTTCCCGCTTCTTGCCATCAGATTGGATAGGCGCACTCTATGCCAGGCCAGTAACGACTGAGGCTTTACAAACTCATATAGTGATTTGTTAAMAACGTTATTAGTCGTTTGAAGAAGTATCAAACCACTGAAAAAATAAAAACGAAAATACATTTTGTGATCTTATGTCGGACCCTATACAATCTTTCATTGCTTTGATTTATACTGGGCCCCCTGTGTTAAAAGATATATTTCCCGCCATTTTGCGACATTCGGGCGCGCCCGCGCACATGGTTGCAACAAAGATGGCGACTCTCGGCGACAACCGGAAGACAACAAAATGGAGGATATTTTGCGTGTTTTTTTGTGATTTTTTGGGCCAAAAAACCCCGAGAAGAACACAATAAAAAGTCCAAAACCTCCAGAACAAATAACAATGCAAGGTAAAGTCGAATACATAGTTTTAAATGGGTTGAAAGCCTATTAATCGGTAAGGCCGAGGGCGAAAGTCGAACTTTAAAAACTCATTAAAAACAATTGATATCAGGTGATAATGAGGCGGCATTCTTTGATGTAATTAAGTTCGGTGCATGGAAAGTTCGACGCTTGCCCTAGGCCTAAACTATTCTTATGTGGACGTTTTCCTTCGTATTGAAGTTCTGGAACCATGAAATAGTTTTACACTAAGTGCCTATTTTCACCATTTTTGGGTATGCCAAATTTCAATTGCTGGAATGCTTCCTATCCCATGAGAACAATAAAACAAAAAATGAAAATATTTGGCTGCCAAGTTGGTTGAAATGGCACTATAAAAAATAAAACACGAAGACCTATGACGAAGACTAAATGCTTATAATGTCACATGCGCCTCCGAAATAGGGTTGGGGGAAAACATCACTTTCAACTCATCATTCACTCCCTTCCCAATATACTTTTAGAATAACCTACAAATCAAATATGCATTATACTTTATAGCTTGTTAGGCTGTTCAGTCCAGAATGATAGTTAGTTGCATGTATAGTCCTCACTTTTATTACTTATTTTATGATAACCTTATTTTTGACTCTTTGATTTTGAAAAACCGAAAATCACATTCCTGTGCTAAGGAATGACCCCTGGACTAGATAGGAAAACATTATTTACTGGACCTATGCTCCAAAGGAATGAAGAGGATGAACTCCCCACCCCTCCTCCTCCCCCTCCCCCCAAACCTCCCCACACCCAAACAAATGAAAAAATACTAATATTAACTGAACATTTACCTGTCCATTATATAAAAATCATCTAAAGATTCCAAGAGTCCAGGATAGCTAGAAAATGACATCCTTCGAGCTCCTAAATATATTTGATAACAGTAATGATTAGACAACTTCTGAATTCCAACTATACAATTCATTGCATGAAGAGCCATGCTGTGGAAAATTAATGCCACTGTTTGACCCATTTTTCTTATTAATTCTATTACTTTTTAATTATAATAAAAAGATTATTATTGGATTGTAGATTATAATGTAATGTAGTATACCATAGCAGGGCTAGCAACACATCATCAACAACCAAGAACTAGGAGAAAAATGAAAGCAATATATATATATGTTGATAAGTTTATAAACATAATACCTGTACTGATTTCTTGTATGTTGAGGTTATAATGCTTGTATATCCTAAGCATGGCCCTATATCTGAACCAACTACATATTTAAAGAAACAAATATTGATATTAATGACAAATATTAATATAAACAAACAGTGTGCTTCATAATTTGCACAACCAACTCCCCTGTACTTATTTTAATGATTTCTTTGGTCAAAAAGTTACATTCAAACAATTTCCTCTTAAGTTCTTAAAATTTTCATAAGCAAATATTAAATATATAGATTAACTCTACAAAAAAAAAGTAAATTTTATTCAAGTTTTTTACACACCAGAGCTGGTTAAATCATATATGGTTAATGTTCATTAATATAACTCGACTGGAATTACCTTGCATGAGATGCAAATATGTTCTCATAGGCCGGCAGCACTTTGATTAATGCTGAGCAATGACCACTTGTAAATATCTGCAATTGTGAGATATGACTGATACAATAAGTAAAAAAACTAGGGGTTAATAATAAGTCCTACAAAAAATTATTAAAAAAGAATTTTTTTATGAAGTTCCACTATCCAATAATTGCTAGTTACACATGGGTGGATCCAGGGTGTGCAGGGGGTGCCCCTACTTTGAGGTAACAAATACTGGTTTTTCCTTTTGATTCTAAGGGGTGCACCCCCACTGAGTTAACTTTGGGTGAGGCACCACCCCCTGAACAAAATCCTGGATCCGTCCCTGTTACATGTATGAATACCAAATAAAAATTTTGGGATAAATGCTGCAAATTTTGGTGTAAAATATTATTTTTTCTTCCAAGATGCAGTTAACTGACATCCAGTTAAATCCAATCAACCCTTTTTCCAGATTTTCAAAAAAAAAGCTCTCTCAAAACTCAGAATTGGGGAGCATAAATTATATTTGAAAGTTATAGGCATGCTTTTGCTATCCATACTATTTCAAAAGCTGAAAATCTGAAAAAATTTATTTATTTTATTACCTGAGATAGTATTTGCTTTTCAGTCATGTGATCCCAATCTGGCATAGTTTCAGGTGACAGAGCTGTTTTAAGGTCAATCAAGTCTCCAACTCCATTCAGGACTTGGAATGCAAAAGAATCCAGTGGCTATGTGAGAAAGTATCAGGTTAGAATCTAATGATTTTTATTACCATAGTGCTTATCCTCTCCCCTCTTGTATTTCTTGTTTGCATATTTTATCCCTACATGAGGAGGTTTGGGTAGCAAGAGTACCAAAGATGTAGGATCAAGCACTCATGTTTTGGTGCTAAGATTTCTGCCAAATCCACAAGTGGTCCAACAAAATAAGAAAAAAGGAAAATTTATGATATTTTTTATGATCAGACTTTCTGGGGGTGTGTGGTGTTGGTCACCATACCTCACCCCCCCCCCCCCCCCCCCCCCCCCCCCCCCCCCCCCCCGCCCGCCACGTCCCAAGGGGTAGGGTTCTCTGCTTACAAGCNCAGACTTTCTGGGGGTGTGTGGTGTTGGTCACCAGACGTGGGGGGGGGGCGGCCCCCCCCCCCCCCCCCCCCCCCCCCCCCCCCGCTACGTCCCAAGGGGTAGGGTTCTCTGCTTACAAGCTATCAATCTAGAGCATGTTATTAGTTTAGTCAAATATTATATCAGTCCACGCCCATGTATAGTGAAAATTCCTGTAGTAAAGTCTATATTTAACTGCAAAAGTCTGTACACGGACAGTTTAGGCATGTACCTCTTAGGAGACTAACAATTGAATGGTACATGGAGAAAGTTACCATTATATCTCAGGACAATCTCATGATAGCCTCTAAAAAACATTGAAATGCAGCATATGTTTATACCTATTTTATTTCTTAATCATCCACTGATAATAAGCAGTTCATTCATTTTAGAGTATTTTGTATTGACAAGATTCATCTTTTGAAACATCAAATTTGATTACCTTGTCTGTAGCTGGATGTGCTTTGTAACCAGAAGTTAGACCTGAAATTGTATGCAAAAACACATCATCTCATATACTATGTCAACAAACCATATTTATTATACTCACCTGCCAGTAGACTAATGGCATTGCATTGAATTATGAAATGTATTAATGTGTGTTATTTACACTTACCATCAAACTGGGCCAAAATATTTCCCATTTGTCTCCAAAATGAAGATATATTTGAGCTCTTGGTAATCATGTCACTCATCCAATTATCCTAAAAAATAATAATGGTCAAAGCTTTCTTAGRAGTATCATCAATTTTAAAATCCTTTGGAACATGGAATACTGTACATACCTGATCAGTAAAAAATTGTGCCACTTTTTCAACTAGGGGATCATCATGCTTGAAAAATATCCCATATATATTGCTGTAATGGTCATTTATTTGTCTGAATGTGGAGAGGAAAATTAACACATGTACTTGATTTCTCTATCATAATTCTGATAGTTTTATACCTGGCTGTGAGTGCACCTTCTAAGAATCCTGCTGCATACATTATCTTGTGGTCTGAATATTTATTGCCTTTTCCTGCAACAATGTTGAGTTCACCCCACCTACATGTAACAAGTATTATGTTTATCACATGATAAGAATTATGACAATGACACTGTTTACAGGATGTTTTTGAAAATAATGTATACATGTAGTTTGTGACATACATTATGAGCATTAGGTTTTACAGCATTATTAAGGAATGGTTGATGCTTAGCGTGCATATATCCAGTTTTGCATGCACACCGGAGGTTGCTTAAGCACAAAAGAAGCGTAGAAGTCGTATGAGGTGTAGTGGAGTGCAACTCTAGCTTCTTGAGTGCTTAAGCAACATTCCCGTGAAGTGCATCCAGAACTGGATATATGCACAACTGAGCATTGATCATTTCCTTTATGGAATATAAAACCGTAAAAAAATATTTGTTGATCAAAAACATTTCAAATTTTGTTCTAACGAAATCTTCATTATATAGCGCACACTACAGAATCATGTCAGCACACACTATCCATTTTTGGATGCACCCTTGCGCACACTTATTAACCAATCAGAGAGCGGGTTATCGTGGCTATGTTATAAACTTCATTGACATTCGTGTTTTGGTTGTACTGGTAATGCATTTAGCTTGGTTCGGGTGCTTGAGGAAGTTAAATGAAGAGAACCTCAGAAAGTAGGGTACATATAATATCTGAATTTTTTATCATATACGAGTCATCTAATGTTATAAATAATGTTGGATTACACTCACCCAGTACTCATCAGGTTATCATCAAAAGTCCCATAAGCTGCTCCATTTATCTTGTCAAGTACACCAAACTTTACATTGTAAGACCTGTCATAAAGAAATGAAATGTCAGTAAATTTTGTGCCTATAGTAGTGTATGGTGCTGTATAACATATTTATAATAATCCGAGGGCTGTCTGTGGAGCACCTTAAAAAGTGGAGGGGGTGGGGCTAAGGTTTGAAAATACATTGGATTGCAATAGTGGATTTTAGCAAGAAGTGAAGAGGCTGTAGGCTTCCCAGCCCCTTGTCCTCCACGTTACTGTAACCATGATATTGAAGCCGGTAAAACAAACAAAAAATTATATAATATATATAGTAGAATTTGGTGTCTATAGAGGCTTTACATGATCACGTGACAAGCAAATGATTTTCTTTAAACATAACAAGACTACTTGAAAACATAATTTTGATTAAAGTAGAAATATAAACCAATCTAACGACTGGTAACGCGATCGAACTAACGACTGGTAACGCCTACGAACTAACGACTGGTAACGCGTACGAACTAACGAGTGGTAACGTGTACTAACTAACGACTGGTAACGCGTACGAACTAACGAGTGGTAACGTGTACTAACTAACGACTGGTAACGCCTACGAACTAACGACTGGTAACGCGTACGAACTAACGACTGGTAACGTGTACGAACTAACGACTGGTAACGCGTACAAACTAACGACTGGTAACGTGTACGAACTAACGACTGCTAACGCGTACGAACTAACGACTGCTAACGCGTACTAACTAACGACTGCTAACGCGTACGAACTAACGACTGCTAACGCGTACAAACTAACGACTGCTAACTCGTACGAAATAAAAGCTACTAACGCGYACGAACCAACGACTGGTAACGCGTTACGAACTAAAAAGTGGTAACGAGTACGACCCAATAACGACTGGTAATGCGTACAAACTAACGACTGGTAACGCGTACAAACTAACGACTGGTAACGCGTAC